CCTTTGTTTCTCTGAAGGTCCCATCACTCCACAGGGCACCGGCTTTCTGGCTGTTCAGTCAGTATCAGGAGTTAAAGTGAGTGTTTACCTGGAGGATTGTTAGTGTACTTTTGTAAGGTGGCATCAAGTCTGCTCATGTAATTCTTTTAATGTAAATTACTCTCATTGAATCTCAAAGTCCTGTTTTGTGTTTCTGTGAAGGCGAATTTCCGCATCGCAGCCACAGGAGTCGTCCTGGACCTGGATAAATCAGTCACTATTGTGAAGAAGCTCAAACTAATTGGTTACCCTTATAAGATCTTCCAAAACACCTGCTTCATTAAGGTACACTACACCTGAAGCTCACTTTATGTCAGCATGTAAACAAACCAAAGAATGTGAAGACTTGTGTAATAATTCACTAAAACCACTCAGAGAAACATCATTTACTCGATAAGCAAAGTCATACTTTTCCAAACAGTGAGTGGAAGACATGTGGAGCTGTTTGCTCCGTGTGGAGCTGTAGGAGGAAGCATGTTCATGTTTGTTCATTTAAAGGGCAGGAGATGAAGGTGATTGTGTAATGCTGCTTGTGTAGCGTGTGCTGATGCTCCCTCTCTCCACAGGGCATGTTTAACACAGTGCTGGAGGTGGCTAAATTTGAAGGTGCTTCTATACGAACAGTGTCGGGGGTCAGAGGTCAGATAAAGAAGGCGCTGTCGACTCCTGCGGGAGCTTTCAGAGCCACGTTTGAGGACCGCCTGCTTATGAGTGGTGAATGACTGTTTTTGCTGACTTTACTGTTACTTTATAAACACTATGTGTCCCTGCAGATCTTACATTGTATTACGGCTTTAAACCAGTTAAAACCTCCAATAGGAAGGACCAAGAGCTGTTCCCAGTTCCCAGGAAATAAAGATAATGCAGATTATAATCTCGTAAATGTATCAAATCCAAATGATTAATTATTAACTTGTGTTTCAGTGATATGTGTCTGCCACTCCGTGTCTTAGTGTCGGTGTTTGTTCTGCAGATATTGTGTTCCTGCGCTCCTGGTATCCACTCAGTATTCCTCAGCTTTACAACCCTGTTACCTCACTGCTGCTGCCTGTGGGCCAGAAGGACAGCTGGTCGGGCATGAGGACCGTGGGGCAGCTCAAACATGACCTGGGAGTCCGTAACAAGCCCAGCATTGACTCGCTGTACAAGGTAGACTCAGCCTGATGACCGCTCTAAAGTGCACAAGTGAGGAACAGATAGAAACAAATGGGATCTGCTCCCTGAAACACTGAAACTGCAACCCTGTTTCCCAGGAAGTGTTGGGATCACTGTATCACATTTAAATGAAGATGGAAGCATTTAGAGGCTTCATTTAACTGATAATCGTACAAAAAACAAACAAAGTATCAATGTTGAAAGTGTCATTCCACTCTGTTCCACCTGAGGACCGTGGTCTCAGACTTCAGTGTGCCAGTGTGCCTTTGATTATGAAACCAGAAAATCAAACTAAGGCTACGTTCACACTGCAGGCGAAAGCACATCAAATCCAATTTTTTTGACCCTATGCGACCCATCTATCCGATCATGGTCTGACAGTGTAAAAACAGCACAAATCCAATATTTTCAAATCTGATCTGGGTCACTTTTGTATGTGGTTCTGAATCAGATACATATCTGATGTTTTAGAAAGCTGCTGTTTGATGGTCATGTCGCATTAAATCCGTCTTTTACGTCACTGACACAAGACAGACGCCAA